TATTCATAGACTGTTTTGGCCACGAGAGACCAACGAAAGGCAACAACAATGTATACAGAAACAACATTTGTGCAACTGTCTACAGGATCTTGGGTGAAGTTCTTTAAAAAGAACTCTTCAAATGCAGAAAGGACACTTAAAAAACCACCTTTTTTCTTCTTCTGGTTGGTAGGTGCAGGGGCTGTGGAGGCCTTGGGCTGCTCTGTGGGAACACTCACAGGTGTTCCCCCTCCACCGGGGCTGGCTGAGCCATCGCTGGAACTCTTATCCTTCTTGCGCTGCTCCCGTTTCTCCTTGTTGCTGACCTTGGTTTCCCATGTGCCTGAAAAGTAGCACTAAGTTCAGTGTAGAATTTGTCACAAAATACTGCAGGAGTTCATTACAGGATTAGTGAGGGGGAAAAAAATGGTACAGATTAAGCAGGGCGAAGGACTGGATGTAGACTTGAGGCTAAGTGAATTTTACTAAGGCACCGATTGCATGTAACTAAACCCACGCTGTTAATTATTCCCTTTGTGGTTCAATTGGTCAGGTCACTGGGTATGTCTTCCTTATGAGGTAAGCTAAACAAACTAAAAACAGCCACAGTTAAATACCACAGATAACAGCTAAATGATGACAGGACTCAGAACATTTTACCTTCTTCTGGTTCTTTGCCATCTGTAATCACTGTCTTGGTCTCCTTCACAGCCTGTTTGGCCTTTTTCTTTGACTTCTTCGCCTGGAAAACAAAGAGCGGACATAAAGTTGCAAACAAAAGCCAGTATATTTGACAAAGACAAACACACAAGGTTATATGACAGTTTACAGAATCAGAAAGGTGTAGATAGTATGCAGAACATATGATTTATTAAGGAGGGGGAACACGACCACATGCTGAATGAACCATGCTGCACAGCAGGCTCAGGCCTCGTCTATTTATAAGTGAAACTACATCCACTGTACCTAAATCTTCTACATGTACTTTTCGTGAGCACTATATCTCCTGCTTGATTCCACGTCTGACTGCAGAACCTTCCGGGTCACCAATACTCTTATATTGTGGTCTTTAGAAGATGACACTATGTGCTGTGATAAGCGGACATCTCTGCATTTGTGCTGCATATGACAGCTGAAGACTGTAACCCAACACCAGTGGCCGGTTGCGTCATTGAAGAGTGAAAGGGCGAAAATGTTCTTTTTTTTTTTCCTTCCTTGACTACATTCAGTGAAGACGTCAAAGTAGTAACGTGAATGATAGGAAATACTACAAAAGACAAGCATTATCGTAGATAGATTAAAATAGAAAAATTAATTGGTTTCAGTCCTAACAAAGTGTGATTCTGGCACGATTTTAAATTACCTCAGCAACCTTCTCCGGCTTGACTTCTGGTGGGGGCGGTTGGTGATGTGGCACTATCTCTTCCGACGCTACGGCTTCTTCCTGTGGCTCAGCGATAGCTCTCCCGTTTGGCTGAGATTTCTGGAAAGGTCATTCAAAATTGATGAGTGTCATTACAAGTTATACCGTTGTTACTTATGCATAAAACGCCAACCATTAACGGCATAGCCGGACAGAACACTAGCCTGAAGCTTGTTTTAGCCATGACATGAGATTTAGTTGTCACCGTGGCGTTAGCCTGACAGCTAGCCCTGCTAGCGGTATAGGGAAAAGCTGGAAATAAAACAGACTTCATTTTACGTGCCTTTTCCGCCTTCTTCTTCTTTTTCTTCGGTTCCTCGGATTTGACGGGTTTACCGACAGTTCGCTTCAGTTCAATTCCGTCGTCCGCATGGCTCATAACAGGGCGCTTCTTGAAAAGACCCCGACAGACTGAGGCCCACAGAGCGACCATCAGCAGCAGCCCAGTACCTGCCAGCAAAAGGATCATCCATGGCGGAATGAGCTCCGGCTTCAGCCCCAAATCCACGCCGAGTTCGGAGCGCAGTAGCTCCAGACCTCTGGACAACAGTTCATTCACACGATCAGTAAGCAGGCTGACCTGCCGAGAGGCCGCGTCCTGCCACTGCTCCATTCCTCCGGTTTCTAATAGACCGATTAGTCACGCTTTGCTTACCACTATTAGCTGCGCTAGCATGCAGTGCTAGCTAAAAATAACGGAACGATTTCGACATTATGAAAAACAACGAATTCATCCGCCAGCAACATTAGCCAAGCCGATCAGCCAAGCAAGCTAGCGAACTGTTGTAAGCGCTGCGGTGGCTAAACAAATTCAGCTAACTGATATCATCATAAGATAATTTGCTACCGTTAGCTGACCACCACAATGAGTCCAGTGTGAGCGCGAGTAAAGCAGGTTCACCTCATATGGCTCCGTTCTGAGTGGAAGAGAGACACGCTGCCTTCACGACAGTCGTAAACCTGAGTTTCCGGGTTGTGAATTACAGCTACGTGTTATAAATGTCTTAGATTATTTATCAAAAAATACATTTTGAACTTGAATTGTTTTGATAGTTTTTTTTTTATTATTTCAAGTACAGATTTGCACACACGTACTGTGCGCATGGTGTATTATTTCCATACACTTTTGTATCATATTTTCGTTGCCTTGGTCCTACAAATGACAGATCCTGATGTTGATACCTAAAAGTCTCTGGTCAAATTAACAGCTCACGAGTTTGTTTGTTTGTTTTTTTTTCCGCACATAAAATCATTGGAAGAAATAAAAAGCCGGGTTATTGCTGGCCAGTTGAAATAGGCAGGGCTACAACTTTCTCCATGCTGATTGGTCAAAATTCTTGATTCAAAAATGTTTCCAGTACGCCTTTAACACAGACCTGCCCCACCCCCCTGCACAAAGGTTATCAAAAGGACAAACATTTTAATGAAAAAACAACAACAACAAAGTAATAGAGAAAAAATGTTAAACAAAAATAAGTTAACGTTTGTTTAAAATCTTTATCTTTGAACAGAGGGGGGTGCCTTAGGTAGCACATCAACTGCCTGCCACCTACAATGCAGTTTTGAGGTCCGTTCCCAGGTGCCTCAACCCCCACTCACATCTTGCATCAGGTGATCTCAATAAGTCACATGATAAGGCGACGCAAGGTCGCCTTGTCATGATAATGACCCGCACATTTTTTTCACATGAGCCAAGTGACTCCACTATTTGGTTTCAGAACTGAAGCTTTTCGGATGACAGGTGAGATGTCTTCAAGAAAATTAAAGAAGTCCAGCCCCTTAGACTACCATGACCTGGATAACTGAGAACCTATATAAACATATTGCATCAAATGTAAAACTTGCTGGAATGATGATGAATTATATGTATATATAACTGGTATGTATTACAGGTATTAACGCACCATTCTGCAGCTCTGTGCAGCTGGACAAATACATAGTGGTTGAGATTGAGAGCTCCACTGCTGGCTCCAACAAATGAGTTCACAGAGGCCAAGAGCAGATTCATCCACCTGATGGTAAAGAGGCCAAGTAAAACCAGTGACTGAGGAAGTGTTTTTGGTTTTTGTCCCACAGGAGCTGACTGGAGGGTAAGTAGTTGGATTAGCTGCACCTGAACCTGAAGTCGCTCACATTCAGACTTACTGCCTGGTTGAACTGGAGTATGTTATTGTGTTGTAGATAATAATGACATTTTTGCAAGTGAATATATCCTTTATCCCTCCTGTTGTCATACATGTCTTACAAGCTTGTCTTCCAAGCACTTTCTGGATGGATGCAAACTGCATTTCGTTGCCTTGAACTTGTGACATGTGCAATGAAAATAAAGTTGAATTCTATTCTATTCATTCCTGCCTTCACAGTCTTTGAGCTGGACAGGAACGTATTCTAAGAAAAAGGAAGAACACTACAAGGATTTTGTAAGATTTTTCTGTATATATTTTTGAATCCACGGGTGGGGAATTCCAGGCCTCAAGGGCAGGTGTCCTGCAGGTTTTAGATATCACCCTGGGTCAACACATCCGAATCAAACGATTAGTTCATTACCAGGCCTCTGGAGAACTTTGAGACATGTTGAGGAGGTAATTTAGCCCGTTATACAGCTGTGTTGGATCCAGGACACGTCTATAACCTACAGGACAGCAGCCTTTGAGGCCTGCAGTTGGACACTTCTGGAATATGCACTTTTTTAAACTTTGACACTTTGTGTTTGCTCTTCTCAGGTCAAAGCCCTGAGAAGAGCATGCTAAGTTCAATAATTCAACATTATAACGCATGCGGTAAATTTTCTTGTGTTTTTACAACACTGCATTATACATTCTTTTTTGGGAGAGGTTTACTGGCATGTGGATTAGTATGGAAGTATCATTACTGGAACATTAGATTTTTTTTGCTGGTGTTATTTACTCTTTATATTCCTATACTTATTGTGTACGCCCCTTGGTTTGTAAGATTATCAATCTATTAACTACTACTAATAAAATGTATTACCTGGTAGTCTATTGAAATAAGTAGTAGCATAACTAGAGACCACACACAAACAATGACAATGTATTTGCATCCAAGTTTATTTTGAAATTCCCTACTCCCCCTGTACAAGAAAAAATGACTTTCCACAAAGGCAGCAGTGAACTGTCAGTGATAGTACGTTTCTAGGGAAGGAAAAGAACAAAACAAAACAAAAAAACTTATAGTCACAGTGTGTCTTAAATATTTCTACTGCTGTCATCTTTGGCTGGGTTTTCGGCAGACAGCTTTTCTGTCAAGCCAAATTCCTGGGAAGCAAAGGTTTAAGCCAATAGAGCAGAGCTGTGGGCTTTACATTTTACAGTGCCAATGCAGGAATGTTCTGGACCGTATACCTCTTCTTCATTAACAGAAAAGAAAAATAAACAATAAAAACTGAAATAAAAATAACAAGCTGTTTGTGTTCACAACACAAACATATTACCGCCCGGGGAGATGGCGACAGTATGTCGAATTTCATAAAATTGTTTAGACAAAAAATAAATCTACAAAAATGGAGCTAGGTAAATATTACACAACAGTAAACATGTTTTTCTTCTTTTCCTTTTTTAAACTCTTCTTTGTTGAACTTCTACACAAAACCAAAATTCTTGGTCTTAATGGCTAGCAGGAGTTTCTGTTTGAGTATCTGTTTTGAAGAGTAGAGTGGCACGTAGAGACGGGAGATGCAGGTGTTGGCTGTGGGGAGGTGCTGGTCGTCTGGAGGCCGGATCGTGATGGAAGGCATCGGCTGGAAGCCCTCCTCGCTGGCTGGCAAAGATGGGCTGGAGGTCCAGAAGTACACCTGAGGAGTACGCAAACGACTTTTTTAATCCCGTGTCTGATATACAGGAAACCAAGTACTTGTACACCGAGGCTTTTTAATTTAATAAGACTGGTGTCTGATCAGTACCCTGTATCAGCAGATACCCACAGCCAAGGTATGGAAAAAGAAAGTTAGTTATGATGGGAGCAGACTTACCAGATCTTGTCTCTCAGTCATGCTCATCTTCTCCACTATGGACCAAAACCAGCGTTTAAACTGGAGAAGTTTGTCTGCGTTTTCCCCTGTTGAATGAAGAAGTCTTGAGTCAGTATATGACAGTCAAATGTACAATAGTAAATCCTTTACTGATTAAGATGGACATAAAGCGATGTAGACAGATCAACATACCAGACTCATCGTTGAAGGAGGTGAAGCTAATAAGCATCTGGACATTGACCTCTCCACAGCCGTTGACTAGCAGCCTGAAGTCTTCAGCTGTCAAGTCCTCTAAGGCGTTCTTGGGCAGTACATCGAGCAAGCCCTTCCTCATTGCCTATGAAAGACAGCCGGTGTGAATACACATTTTGATAAATGACAAAGCATTGATCTGCATTCACACAATTTAAGGTTCAGTAAAATTGCCGTTTATACTTACATGAAGCGGCTGCTCAGCAACCACCAGCATTCTGTGCTCTGCGTACCTCCTCACATATTCGTAAACATTGAGGGGAGTTACTGGCATGTTGACCCCTCCAGACAGGAGCTCAACCTGAACAAGGCAGAATGAGATATAAGCTTCACTTAAGTCACCACCTGTACATTAGTTAATTTAACCTGAAGAGAATTTTCAGATGTGTTGCCGCATTTTTCACCTTGCATCACATACACATTTGCCAGCGCTATTTTTCCATCTTAACAGGACAAGTGACATCTGATACTGCTCAAGTTTGACACTTAGACAGCCAAGTCCATTACCTGTCCAGCTCCTTCCTCTTTGCAGAGATCAATGGCGAAAGCCAAATCCATGGCAGCAAACACTGCTTCGGCTTCACCAGCCTGTGAATGGCGGATTAGCTGCCGCAGGCTCTCATACATAACCGGGTCAAAGAACGCAAAGTCATGCCAGTTCACCTGCAGTAAAAGAATGATTAGCAATTGAATTGTTTAAGAACCAAGCATTATGCAGCAGGTGCATTTTTTTTTTTTAAAGGCATATTTTCTACTTACCTTCCTACCAAGCAGCACCTTGATGACATGTCTGTTCAGTGTGATTGGACAGAGTTCATTCTGCAGCAGACATAAGCCCAGTATTCTGCAGAGAAACACATTGTTTCATACTCTGCTAAGGACACAGCTGATTTCACAAAACATTTTCCTTCTTGAATTTAATTTTTATCCAACCAAACATCATGTAAATCTTTGATTTTTTATTATTACCTTCCAATATTACGGAAGCAGTTGAGTCTGGCCTCTGTATTTTTGCCGGGTCTAGGGGAGTAGAAGCCTCGTTTGCCAGGCTGGTAGAAGAGAGGAGCGTTGTCGTCACCGTCATCTGGGTCGTCCAGCTCCATGTCAACCACACTGCGTGTTGAACCGTGACGTTTGCGGTTCTCCTGCTGCTAAAAATGATTGAACAGAGGAGGGGGGCAGTGTTTATAACAACTTCGTATTAGGATGATCTGTGTTGTGCAAGTGTTTCTGTTAAGTGTCAAAGTCATTTTAGTGTGTCGTGGTTTAGCACACTTTGCTAAAATATGGCTAAAACATTTTTAGAAAACAAGAAACTAGTTAACAAATAATGGAAACAGGTTATATATTTTGTTCACTTGTGATTTCTCTGGAGCCTCTGGGAGACCGAGGTCCAGAATACTGTCAGCTCCATTTTCCCTGGGAAAGATAAACAGAATATAGTTAGTTTGCTAAATGGCACTGAGTATGAATATGAAAAAAATACTGTTCTTAATGGATGTATATTCATTAACAGGTACTTTTTTTGTCAGCTAAATGAGCATTTTATTGCCAGAGGCACCCGTGGTGTTGGTGATTTGTCTTACCTTCCATGTGCAATGAGTAGCTCCATGGCCTCTTCTACTCTGGCTCTCAAAGAATCCTCGCTAGCTAGCAGCAGCAACAGCTGGGCAGGAGACAGCTCCAGCAACATGCCGGTGATTTTACTGGCGAAAGCCTAAAGACACAAACACAACTCCCCTCAGTATGATCAAGGAAAAATTATAAATGCAGACAAGGAAGCAAAACATTATGGATCACTCAAGTTCAACACAACAACTATTGTACCTAAAAAGAATTTAAACACTAAACACTGAAGTGATGGAGGAAGTGTGGTTGTCTAAAATGTGTGGGATTCCATCTCTTGGTGTGTAAACTTGTAAACAGAACCTCAAAACTGATCATTAGTTATCAGAAATGTTACCCTGTCTTAATGAAAGAAAACAAACAGATATGCTGATGGTTTATTACCGGCTGCATTGCATGGACTCGTGGATAGAGCCTTTCGCCCAGGGCTTGTCTGTGTGCAGGCAGAGGGTCAGGCTCATCACTGGGGTTTCCTTCTGATGACGGCCTGAAAGGCCTGGTGTCTATGGACAGCTGCCTCCTAGAGTCTCTGTTAACATACAAACAGGTTAGCAGACATTTTCGCTAAATATAAAGAAAGGTCATATAGGCTACCAAATAGAGTTTACCTGTCTCGGTCTCTCCGAGATCCTGCTCGAAGCCCACCACTTCTCCTCTCCCTCTCCCGGTCTCTGTTCCTGAGACGCTGCATTAGATCTGCACAAACAAATCGACCAGGGCAAGTTCATTTGTCAAGTATCTTATGTTGTTGCTACTTTAATGATTTCTTCCATCATCACAAAAACAAAAAGCAAACATTTATTGTAATAATGAACACAAATGTCATAATATGCAGTATGCAGTAGTTTCTATGTATTGTCATACTTGAATTGTAATCGTGATGACACGTACTGCTGGCCTGCATGCCCTTGCTGACGCTCTGAACACAGTCCAGGTTGGGCAGCTTTTCATTGGAAAGGAGGGCCAGAGCGATGGCCGTGTAGAAGCTGCGGGCCACGCCACTGCCCTCTCCAGGCTCATCTTTGAAAGTCACTTTCACCCGGTGTACCGCCATGGGTGTGGTTGTACAACGCCTGCCAAAGTGTGTGTTTAGCTGACGCATAGTCTGTTGTATTAGCTGGTCTCGATCACGGTCCACTTCCAGCGCCAGGTCACGGGACTGCAGGTTCCTCAACTTCTCCATCTCTCGACGGAACTTGGATTCCTTCACCTCAAAGCCGCCAAGCTCTGTGAGGATCTGGTTCAAAACAACGAGGGAACGACAACACGGTCAGTTAAAGCTACATTAAGTTTCACATGCTATAGTAGCAGAGGAGTGTTTTAATTTCAACATCTGTATGATTCATTCTGGCTACTCATGGCTCATTGCCTCAAACAAGCTGATTTTACTCTGAGCAGCATTTCATTTAAGAAGCCATCAAGTACAAAAACGTACAGGGAAGCGCTCCATTTAAGTATATGTTGAAGGCATGTTGAAAAAATAAAATATTTTTTACCGATCCAGGCTCAGCTCCAACATCCTCCATGAAGACACGACCAAAAAGCTCCAGTGAGAGGCGCCAGCGGCCCAGCAGCATGTCGTGGGAGATCATCATCCCCATAAAACTGCAGTGAGGTCTGGACAGAGGACACAATAAACACTATTTTAAACTTTTATCCTCATCTTCATAAACTCTTTATCTATAATTACATTTTCTGTGTTTGAGAGCAACAGACAGTTTTCACAGCAACCATTCTGACTGGGAAACAGGAAGGTGTTACATGTGCTAATAATGAAGGTCCTAATTAATGCAAGTACAGAGGCTTAATTAATGGGACGACAAACATCTATAGGTGACACCATTTCATGTCAAGCTGCTGAGATCAAGGTCAGTTCTCTCTGCAAAAATCAGCCCCACTAAATGCAATGACTGGTTACCTGAACGATGGGAGAGGAGGGCCATCACTCTCAGTGAGGCCAATCTCAGCAAGCAGGCTGCTCTTTAGCTGGGCAGCAAGGTCGTGGGGTGATGGGCCAGGTTTGGAAGCCTCCAGCTCCTGCTCTGCCAGCGACTGGTTCTCGGTGCTCCGCTGGCCTGTCTCCATGCTCATCACATTCTTCAGGTTAGCTGAGTAAGACATCTTAGTGGGCAGGATCTGTTTGAGCAGGAGTCAGAAGTGTCGTTTAGTAATGTGAACAAGTGAACTTCTAAAGATGATGGCAGTGTGGCCACAACAGAATGGAAATGGGACACAGAATACAAACTGTGCTCCAATATCCACACTCGTATGAACACAAGAACACGACCCAACCTACCTGTCCTTTCATAAATCAAATAGCACGAAGAGATAATGAATCCTTAATAGTCAAGTTATTTTAACTGGGAAAATGCTGCAGTACTTTATTATTTCAGGGAGATTTGTTATGCATGGATATTAGAACACAACTACCAGCGTGATAGCACGGTGTAGAGGAGTGGTATACCTGAGAGGGGGAGGGTAGAGAGGAGCCCATGTTTACCTCCAGGCAGTTCCTGTCCATGGTTGCCTCAGCCAGGCCTTTGGTTGCCATGTAAGAGGAAGAGTACAGGCCCTGAGATGGACGACCAAACAGATCTTCCTTTCTGGCATTGGGCTGTTGAAGAAGAAGCAAAATGTAGTTAAAATCACAAAGGCTGAGTTTCCATTCTATAATGTAAACAGTTCAAGTGTTTTACATTCTCTAAATAGTGCTGTCATTTTCTTTGCTGCCAAATATCTCTGGCATGTGGTGATACATGAAGGAGTTCGCACAGAAAACAAGATAAATAAAAATGCAATGCCACAAAGCTGAGATGACTCATAAAAAATACTTAGAATGACACGTAAGGAGGTTGGGGAATGTTGAACATCAGCAGCAAATCTGACCTGCAGGAGGTGGGGCTGGTCTGCCAGAGGGATGGCCTCAGCCAGAGGAACATCGAAGGGATTTGGTGGGATGCACCCGAGGAAAGTCATTGAGTCAGAGCGACGGAAGAAGGGGTGGTTCTGACCCGTCTCAGCTGGAACTGGGTCCTCATCCTTGTCCTGCAGTGTTGAACCTGAAGTGAAAAAGAAACACAGCAGATCTTAAAACAACTATGTAGTTCTTGATATTTATTATGGACTGACTATAGTTTAGTTGTCATTTAGTCGTTTTATTTTTTTGCCTTACTCTGATTGGTGTCCTCATCATTCTCATGCTCAGAATCTTCATTGTCCAACCCAAGCTCCAAAATCTCTCGATTCCTACAAGTGAAAGTTACGGAGGATAAACATCGTGTTAGACTCACATTTATTCTGAAGGCCCATAAAACAAATCTAATTACCACCCTGTTGTTTGAATGAACTGTATTTTTTGCTCCTAAGAGCAGTTGCTTTAGATAAGCTTTCACATAAGGATGTGGCACGCATGCGCTGTGCTCTAGAAAACTTTGATTTCTATTGCTTGCATGCAATGGTTTCTTGCTGCGCTGAGCAATCGTGCGACCAGTAGAAACAAAGCCTACAGCTGCACTAAGTTCAACCGCACGATGAGCGAAAACATTCCATGCGTGTCCAAGTTCGGTGAACTTTTTGACACAAGCTTACATGCAGATACAGGGACCTCCAGAACCCTTAAGCCATTCAACGGTTCTGTGGACCTCAGGAGGAACGCAATGTTGTGGAAACAACACAATCTTCACTAATCGGGATAATTAAAAGCTTTCTTCTTTATGAATGTGCGATACATTTTTTTTATTAAACATTTTAACATTATACAACACAAACTCTCAGAGGGGATACAAAGTCCCGTGCATGTTTTTAAATGACAGGGAGCAGGTGCATCTAATACACTTAGAGTGGGTGCAAAAAAATTACGTATAAACAGAGCGGAGCAGCCAGTGCAACACAAAATGTGGGCCCTTCGCTCTAGTTAGTGGTCAGTGCAGCACATGCTGTGTCCATAACCTAGCTAATTAGCATCACTTAGATTTATTTCAGCTGATTTTGCTACAAGTTACTGAAAGTCAGTCACACTGCAGCTAGTCTCTTTTAGTGTCGATCCTGTGAACTGTTTAATTAAATATTAAAACATTTACTGTCTTATGATTTAATAAACAAAACTGACAAGTATGCAGCCTCTGTGTGAATCCTGAATTGGCATTTTCTACTATTTTTCATCATTTACCTCTTTCTATCCATCTGTGGCGTGTCCAGGGTGGTCTGCTGATTCATGGCTTTAATCCAGTAGATGAGAGCCTGGAAAACGTAAGCCACATGCTTCAGCGAGCACACGTCCAGCACTGGAAGCACATCAGAGTGCTCATCATTGTGGGAGCGCATCAGTGACAGGGCGTAGTTCAGGAAGTCACCACGTGCAGACATCATGCCTTGACGAGCCGTTAGCAGTGTGGCTGCCCTCCTAAAACAAATACTAAATTAAGTGTGGGACGCAATCATTTGTTTGCATCATGTAATAGTAAGTTAAATTAATTCATTGACCACTTTAAGTAAAAATGTTTACCTGCGTCCTTCCAGAGTGCGGAGGCTGGCCTCCTCTCGAGCAGTCATGCGCTCCCTACGAGCTGAGTGCTGGGAGGCATGGAGTGGGTGACTGGGGTGACCGGGATCTCCAGCAGATGACAGGGCTGAGCCGTATCGCAGCTGAGCCTCAGTGGAATCCATGATGGACACCATCCAGTTCCAGGTGGGAATTAACTTTTCTTCTACATAGTTCTGGTTCACACAACAAACATTTCACTCTTTGCTCACATAATCGGCTTGATTCCAAATTTTGTTTTGCATTCCTTTTAAAAAGCACTAAATAGCATTTGTGGTAGGGTTGAATATTCTATAGTTCTGCGTTATGTAAACTATTGCTCTTAGCATTGCACTGTTAATAGTGGAGACTAATCAACATGAACTCCTTCTGCTGAAAACACATAATGCAGATCTTAAAAGACTCCAAGACATTATACCTGCAGGTTGACAGCATCCTGGTAGGTGAGCTTGACAGCAGCAGGATACTGGGAGTAGACAAGATGATTATATTTGGGAATCAGACTCATGAGGTCTGAGATCTGCCTGATGACAATGCTGTAGGCGCGGGCGAGACTGCTGGCAGACGTCAGGTAGCTGCTGGAGTTGCTGGCCTCCAAAGCTGCCGCCGCTGCAGCGGCACTAGAGCTGATTGCACTTGAGCGCCGCAGGTTAGTGGGGTCAATATATATCAGGCCTGTGGAGCTTGCTGTGGAGGAGGGGGGAGGGGGATGTTAGTTCTGAGACATTTTAAATTTTCAATTAAAACTGCAGAAGCAGGTGGACATTTGCTGACCGGCTGGTGTTGAGGTGCTGGAGGGAGCGCTTCCCGGTGCCCTTTGGCTGGGGGTGTTTCTCACAGCCCACTGCATGGAGCGAGGAGCCTGAGCTGCACTGTTAGCATGTGATGCATTAGTTGTCCTTTCCAGAGGCTCATCCAGCAGAAACGTCTCCTGGTCAACATCGTCACTTTGGCTGCTGCTGCTGTCTGAGTCACTGGAGTCATTGGACTGAGAGTCATCCTCTGAAAAGAAGGCGGGGACACTGCTGGCACCTTTAAAGTAGGGATGAAGAAAAATATAAAGAAGACCAGTTTAATGTTCTCGTATTCAATTTGACCTACCAGTCTTTCGCTTTCACATCAGACTTATCCAAGCAGGAGTGCGGGTTAGTGAATCACACCACTACAAGGCAAAACACCACCAATACGAAACTGGACACACTGAAACACCGAGTGAGAACAAAACTGGACACTCTGGTGTTCAGCTTGTGCTAAATCATATATGGTTTCATTTTCTAAATATTTTCAAGTTAAAAAAAAAAAACTATTCAAAGAGAAAGAACATCAATCTCTAACTTGACAAAATAATCTACAAGAAAGTTTAACATCATCGTTAGTAGCAAATACACTCTTTAGATGACCAAGCAGGAAAAAACCCACACCATTTGGAAAAGCTACAAGTTGATTAGTGTGTTATTTGGATAAAAGACCAACAAAGCTACACTTGTGATGAGGCATTAGTTAAAAATGGCAGACAACAACAGAGAAATGTGAGAAGGGGACGGACTGAAGGAACTCTCAGCAGGAAACTGTGTATGCACTTTGCAAATTCACTCTTGCCCTGATATCTGTATATGCATTAAAGTAAAGAGGAGCTCATACCAAAAATAGGAAATGCCAAGGACACCCTACTGCCTGCAAATGAAATACATTTGGTATTCAGCCAGGGACCACTTTTCCTTCTCTGCTGTATCATTATCTCTCCAAATATAAAATCCCCACAATCCACAATGCTGACTGTCGAGTATTGTGACTCTGACTGATTTACAAACAAAATTTATTTTTGCAAGCGATTAGACCAAATTAGACCGATTCAACACAAAAATGGTTACGATTTCAGTCAAAGGGAGTGACAGTTTAAAAAAAAAAAGGGGGGGGGGTCATAAAACATTGAGATTTTCAGGGTTTTTCTGAACGCAATAAAGGTATTAGGTAAAAGGTGATGGTTTACATAAAAGCAGTTGACTAACCTGCTTCAGAACCAGCAGTAGCTGCTGTAACAACGCTCCTGCGACCGCTGGCGTTGTCCTGATTGCTGTGGTTGCTTTCGCTGTCGCTCTCCGTTTCAGCTGCTGCCAACAGGTCCAACTCCATGTCACTTCCTAAAAAACAGACATGACCCCATCCTAAACTCATCTGACTTTGATTCATAAAGATGAACAACTCCAACTATATCTTACCATCCTCGTCGTGCTCATCGTGCTGGCCTTCTGCTTCAGCATTTTCCTCTCCCTGCTCTTCCTGGTCGTCGTGATGGTCTTCCTCCCCAGCTACACCCTCTACAACTTCAACCTGTTAGACACACAACAGATTGTCCAATAAATAAAACTTTGTGGCGAGACATACCTGAAATTCTACAGTAACAGGAGGACAGAAAAAAATACAAATATGAATAGGGTAAGATTGTGGGCTTTAGCCTCAGAAACAGTAACCAACATGCAGTGCACACATGCACATCCAGAATTCATTATGGCTCTAATGATTTAATAATGAGGCTCCCCACCTCTTCCACATCTGCTGATACAATGTCATCCTGCTCCTCATCTCTTCCTCTGACAGGCTGAGACTGGCTGCTGCGCCGGGGCTGAGGGTTCCTGATGATATAAGAGGCAGCTGTCTGGCTGGAGCTGGAAATGTTAAACACAAGCTCATTAAATTAAATAAATAAGAAAAAAAAAGGAGAGTGGATTCTAATTATCCATAATTTAAGTACATTTTACAAACTACTTTATCACTCCACTTGCAATGAGACAAAGTCAAGAAAACCAACTAACCTGCTGGACTGGTCAGGTGAGGGTCGTGGTGGCAGCGGTTCAACAGAGAAAAGCTCCTCGCTGCCCTGAACAGCATCAATGCTGGTGCTGGCCAAAGTGAAAGGAGCGGTCGGTCTTGCAATACCCATTCGCACTGGGACAATTAGTGACTCTGCTACATTACACAGCTCCTCCACAGCATAGGGCAGCAGAGCCTGGAAAACACGCCGACATTTCCCAATGGGCTGAGGGATGAAATTGCTGTGTGAGGAGAAATAGAGAAGAATTGAGAAATGGTTGTATTACATAAGAAAATCTTGTCTAACTGGTATCAAGTATGTCAGCAAATTATAAACAAGCTTTAGCCTTGGGCTGTTCTTTTCATTTGTTCTGGTATAACCTTAAGTGGGATTTATGCTTCTGTGTTAAGTCTTCGCTGTAGTTAAGTCTCACGTGGAAACTATTTAGAAACCCTACACCATAATTTGTGCTGAAACCTGATGTGCACCTCTCTAGAAATGTAACTAGAGGTTGCATCGACGCAGCCCGCAACATCTGTGATTGGCTTGTTCGGTCATCTCAAAGGGAGAAAGTCCACTTACAAGAGATGTGTTGGCCATGACAATGCAGAGCAATTGGCACAACTATAAATGCTGGCAATATCATTGGCTACTTGTATAGGCCATTGGTGGCTCTACATAAATTTAACACAGACATTCACATTAGTCTAAAAACAGTTCTCAAAACCCTTAAAGTCGATTATCCAGTTCTTGACCACTAGGTCAATGATGACACTAAAACTAAAGCAGGGATTTTTTTAAATGCAACTTCATCCCCAGCTTTTTACAGTAGATTACTTCAATGTTAAATCCACGACAGAAAACCCTTCTGAAACCCTAAAGCGTAACCCAAAGTGCTGCTACCTGCAAAATCAAACCGTACAGGTATAAATGCTGGTAACAGCTGCTTGATGGTCATGGATTCAAAGCAGAATTGTAAATTAAACAGATTAATGTAGACAACAGAATTCTTTAAAAAGAAAAAAAAAAGAAAAGTGTTCTTCAAATTGTGTTCTTACTTTTTCTTTTTTGATGACGCCATCTCCACACTGAGGATGACAAAAACTCGGGCCACAGAGCGCAAGAACCTTCTGGTGACATTGATAGCCTCCTCTCTTCGACCGGGTGTGTACTTGTTCTGCAGCTCCTTTACCAGAGTACCCAGTAAAGTATCTATGAACTAATACAGCAGGGAGATAAAACACCCGATGAGGATTGTCATGCATGAATACAAGTCAGTAAGTTACAGAGTGACCAATCCCAAATAAAATATGTTACCAGGGTTACTTATTTACACTGAATGTGAATTTTACACTGTGTGCACTGGAAACGGAAGACTAACTGCACTTACAGTGATGTCAGGAGCACACTTGACAATGAGGCAGTGAGTAAAACAGTCAAGGCGAATGGTGCCACTCTGCTGATTCAAGTAGACCTGCTCTTCAGGTAGGAGGTGAGCAATTCTGCTGCTGGCACTAAGTCTGGGAAACACAAAATACAGGATTGAGATACAAGCTACACAAATTACTACATCACAGCTATAGTTGATTGAATATTTGATTTGGATTATAACACACCATTTAAAATCGGGTCTCAATAGTGCAATTAGTGGATCAGGATAAACTGGTGGATCAGACTTGTTCAGGGAAAAATAATGCATTCTCAAACTCCAATGCTTCTGATACTTACGGGTCTTTATTCTCCTGAGAACCAAACATGATCATTGACTTTAGGGCATTCCAATCCTGCAGGACTCTCTCCAGAGCCAGCTGAGCAAAGCGGGGAGGTTCTAGATCGTGGTCTGGCATGTCAGAGTCTGAAACAAGAACAACAGCTTTCTCTCAGGATCTGTGTTCTGCTTTCAAATGAACTCTTGTGAAATCTTTAATTAGCATGGACCTAAAGTTAAAAAGGAGGGTAAATGACACAAAGTTCTTGAACCAACCTTCTGCATTAGCAGCCTTGCGGTTCCTATCTTCTCTGATGCGCGGTGGTCTGTACTGACAGTGCTCAACACTCTGCCTGGCAACAGTCTGCACCAGGAACAGTAATATATGCTCTCCCCTGCAGATAGAAACAAGTCAGACAGACCTACCACCTCTGCTCACTTACATAACACAATGGATCTTTAGCAGAGTAGCAAGTTAAATTCTCAATTCATTTGCTAACTATAAAGAACAAGAAGCACTTCTATATGAACCAGACAAATTAAAGCCTGGGGCAGAGTTCACAGAAGCCTCACCTGCTGTTTGGTGTTGTAACCAGGTTTGTGGTGGTGAGTAGCCTGTACAACAGATCCAGGCGAGCTGCTTTCTGACCAGCTATGAGCGTTTTACACTTGCATTTCTCCCAACAGTCACAGTACGCTGTAGGTGAAGTCCTTTTCAACCTGGGAAAGAGGATATACAAAGTCTAGTGCCTTAGTTCCAAGAGCTGGTAACAATGGTAAGAGAGACGAGCATTAGCAAGGAGTGAAAAAGGCCACACTGAAAACTAGGACTTACTTGCAGTCATGTCCTTTGTGACACACCCTTGCACATTCAGTGCAACAGCAGAGGGACTCCAGCAAGCCACATGTTCGACACTCAAAGATATCCTAAATACAACGCAAGTGTCATGAAAAATGTCAACATCTATAGAAATATATTCGCAAAAGAGTTTGGCCATTCTAAAAAACGCTTACTTTCCAGACACACAACACTTCTTCTAGCAAGTACATTTTAGTGTAATGGGATTGTCACAGGCTGACCTGGTTAATGTGCTCAGCTCCAGTCCATGTAAAACTGCAGGTGTCATTGCAGCAGAGAACATACAGGGGAGAATCATCTGGGTTTGTACCCGAGGGGCAAATCATTTCCATGAACACCGAATCAGCATCCTCCTTCTCTGTGATACCCAGGTCACCAACTGTGTTCAAGACATTTGGGGAACAATGAAAAAGCATGGAAACACGGGAATGGCACTTATAACACTTCAGTTAGCTGCTGGAAGCAGGGCACCAAAATAGGTCAGGATTCACATAACTCATGGATAACCTCCAATGTTCCAGCTATTACCTAATCACTTAAAATGATATCAGATGTACTAAAAAGTCTGCTGCTTTCCCAGAAACTGTTCAGAGATGGCAGCTGGTTGGTAACATAATATTAGTGCAAATGTCTCCATGCCTGCTCCGTTCGCTTTGTGTGAAGATGTTAATGCAATACATGTTCTTGAATTTAGACACTTTAACACAAAGGTTTCCAGCGAACCTGTTCTCAGCCAGCTTGTTAACTCACCCTTGGCCATTTTCTGTGCAGCCTCAAGCACGGTGATAGCTGCTGGGTAAGCTCTTCCACTGACAGCTAGCATGAACGGGGTCATTCCTCGGGCATCCCTGTCAAACAAAGGCAACAATATGCATGAGCAGTTCCAGGAGAGCACCTGAGCAAACGATAGCAGGGGAGAAATAAGCAGATTTTCAGTCAATTTTAATGCAGTAATAAAGACTCTTACTTTGCAGAGAGCAGCTCCCGTAAGTGTGGCCTCAGAACAACGCTGTCACACATCAGCTTAAGGATAAGGTGGGCATTGGCCTTCCTGTCTTTAGACTCAACCACAGAAGGCTCAGTGGACGGCCCTGCTCATATGGAAAACACATACAGTTAGTCAGTAGGCGTTACAAGATTTAAGCATAGAGCTGGCAATTCATTTATATGATTTATTTATACTTATAGTTCTCATTGATACAATCGTTCTACTGGTTTGAATTAGGCGGATGCTACTCTTGTGCCGTCCTTTTTTATTAGGTGGTCACAATGTGACTTTATCTCCGTTCCTCCAAACACCCTGACACAGCATGTTATAGGTTTCTACGTTTCTAAGTTACCAAAGTGTTGGCTCCACTGCTACACCAGAATTTCCGGCAAAGACTTGGTTGTCCAAGTGTCAAAAGGTTTTCTTTTTAAATTTACCAAATTGCTTTAATGGAAAAGAGGCACGTGATAAAGAAGGTATGCACCTGGTATTGTGGAGGTGCTCGGTCCCTGGCTGCTACCAGTGGAAGCAGTGGTGAGTGAACCCACAGCTGGTGCTAAAATGAAGTCGATGTCTCCATCTTTTCATGAAAAACAAACACAGTTTGTATTTTTAATAAAATCAGGATTATGAAAATCAAAAGACAGTTGTTATTGTAATTCTATAAAAGGAAGGGAGGGCACTTAAATTTTAAGGCTCCACTTTCCAGTAAGGTGGTGCAAAACTACCTCACTGATTAACAACTATGGTAAAACAAAAAAAGACACTGCACTGGTCTGGGTGGATTTCTACAAGTACAAGTGAAAAGACAATCAAGAACTCCATAGTTGCTAAAATAATAAAAAACGCCCACACAATGAGTCAGAAATCTATTTATTTGGAAATCTCAAAAGTGATGACTGTAAATTAAACAGCAAAATAACTTCTGCAATATTCTACAAATGGCTGCCACTGTGTGTTTTACATTACATTAAAAAAAAAAAAAATCAAATTCGATGTGTTGTTGGAGAATGGTTGTGTCAGAAATAAAGATGCATTTAATTTCTTTTTCTTTGTTCACTTTAAACAGCACATAAAAATAACTCTACCATTTTTTTCAGATGCACTCACCAGGGTCCATGGGTGGAGGGTCAGGAACCCAACTTGGTGGAGCAATGGGCGGGGACACAGGATCCTGATGGTCACTGGATGACGGGCCAGATTCATGTCGACCAAGACCTGCTGCTCTTAAAGACCTCCGCATCATCTCCCTAAGACGAAGGCTAGTGACAATCCCCCCAAAGACAAATGAGTCAATAACTTAGATCCTGTTTCAGTAGTACTGCCAAAATGGACAGCCAAAATATTTCTTTGCTGTAGGGCATTTTTTTGTTATACATTCTGTGGAGCTCATTTACCCTCTGCTGCTGGAGGAGCCGGTCCTATTTCCAGAGCTATTGCTTGAGACCACAGAGATGGCATTGGCAATCGCCTCCACAGCAGACAGACGCTCTGCAAATGTGTTCCTCTCTGACCTTTCAGCTTCTGAAATGAAATAACATGGTCACTGAGCGTGGAAAGGAATTAGCTGAAAGCAGCAATTAAGGTGAGACGATTGTGAGCTGAGCTAAAATGGTGTGGAAACAAACTACCATCAAAATCGCACCATTTTTAAATATATAAACATGTGACCGACAAAGGCAACTCAGAGGAAAGCTTCAACTAGAACTTGCAAATTATGACAAGGAAGCAACATTTTGCCATTACTGGAATACTACGGCAGTGTTCAAACGCCAAATACAAATCTGATTTTCACAGATTGCATCATCATTAGCAGCATTAACGTATCCTCCTAGATGACTGGTTCAGTCTTGATGACACTTTGAACATTCATAACATCTATATGTTGATGGATTAAAATACTTGCTTCATTAAAGAATTACTGTTCCTTACTCTGTGTATTTGTATATAGAAACTGAATGATTGATGATCGTTCATGAACGTACAGCATGTTTTTTAATGCATGGAAACTGCATGCAGTTGCATGTTGGATTACATGTTACATATCGTTTTAAGAGTCACCACAGGGGTTCAAGTCTTTACATCTGGCAAGTTTTTAATTTCCTATCAGCCTCACTTTTCCCATTCTACTACATTAACTGAGGTTGAAAGATGGGCACAGCAGATGGCAGAGGAATCTTTCTGGACATTTGCAGGCTACTTCCAAAGAACATAAAAGGCTCCAAAGTAAATCACTGCAAATGGCAGGTGTGGCCATTCATTCTTTTGAGGTAAAGTATTGCCATGACTTTTTGGGCATTTCCAACTCCATTTCTATTTTTACTATTTAATAGTTCCTATTATTGATATTAATATGAGCGTTCAAGTGAAAAGTCACCTTGCTATTGTATTTCTAACAGTTCCAAATTGGCAGGGGAGAATCTGATCGATCCTAAAAGACTTTTTTGTCCACACAGTCCACAACCACACACACCCGCTTACCTTCCTCTTCTTTGGTCTCTTTGTTACTAACGGGGAAGCAGACTGAGACGGCAGCATGGAGGATGTTGCGGTTTCCATCACATCGATGACCCAAAAGTGCTCCGAGGGCTTGGCTGCCCTGATCTAACAGGAAGGCCTGCTCAAGGTTGACCAGGTACTGCCGACACGCCTCATAGTCGCAGCGCAGCACATGCTGCATTAGCGTCTGCTTCTGAAAGTGAAATACCTTGTGTGAGTACTCGTTATAATCTACATAGCATTCTGGTCTTCTATAAAGGAGGAGAGCATGGGCACAGAGCAACACTGATCACATTGACTTGTTCTACTTGGTCAAGTACATGTTAATGTAAAGTTTATTCAGGCTTTTTGAGGGGTTTAACATACTCAAAAACTCATGACATTTTGCACACAAGTCAGGTTTGGTGAAAATCTGAGTATTTTAAAACAAAATTTGGTAAACACGTGTAAAATGCCAAAATGGAGAAAAAAAAGGTAAATGGGACCCCATGACCCAAACCCAACAGGAAGTCCACCATTTTGAATTTAAAATGGCAATTTTGCAATTTTCAAGGCGTTGTAATTTTGCAAACTCCTCCCAGGGATTTTATCAGATCAACTTTATATTGTGTCCATCTAAACTACAGAACTGGGCCATATTAAATCGCAGCACTTTTGAGCTTTGGTTGCAAGTGGCGTCTGTGATTCGACCATTCGTCATGAAAATTTGATTTCCTCTCATTCACACATAATGAATGACATACATCAGAGTGACAATTGGAAACGTTCAGCAAAGCTTGACCGCAGCATGCTCTGACGTACGCCAGGGTCCGATGGGCATCTCATCGTTGCTTGAAGCTTTAATTTTTTTGTTTTCTATGAATGAATTAATAAAGGTTGCGTTTACCTCGATAGCCATAATAATAATAGCAGCTTTCTTTTTAATGGTGGAGTTTGAAGGGAGATTGGCCAGAGAGTGCACCCCCATTCCCAGGCTGTTTATAGGTGGCAGGTCCAACCAATCAGGATCTCGAATTCCACCCATGCAGTCTTTGGCCATAGGGTAGATTGTGCCATTTCCATCTCGGAGGATGATGGGAGACTCCTTAATAAAAATTAAATATTAAACATTTAAAGTGGAGCATTGAGTAAATATTTGTACAACGTGTAGTGAAAACCTGAGAAAACATGCTGGTCCTCAATAGCCTGTCTCACCTGTCCTGCAGTAAAGATAGCCACATTGCGCTCATTCTGCCCGAGGAAGGCCAGGTTACTAGTAGGGAAGTTATTCTCCTGCTCAGCTTTGCCTGTGGCCAGGTCAAAGATACAGTACCTTACCCAGTTACCAGTTTTCAGCACTGCGTGGACTCCTAGAAGATGACGAGATGATTAAGGTCAGGAGATATTGCAGATAAAGAACTCTATAGAAGGCTGACCTTCAGAAAAAACTCACCTTTGGAGTCAACATTTACAGCCAGAATCTCAGCTTTTTCTGGGATACAGAGCTTTTTAGGTGTTCGCTGAAAACAGTCTGGAACTTTTGGAGTGCCACCAGTTTTAACCACCTGTCAAGCAGATGGAGATGACAAAGTCAGTGAACCAAAATATCTGTAGATCATCAGTCAGATACATAACTCCGTGACTGAAATTAAGTTTCATTTACTGGAAGGAAAACAAGCTGTGTTGAATCAGTTAATACCTGTAGCTCATCTATTCTGAGGAGCCTACAGTCCTGCAACAGCGATGACGGGTCTGAATCAGGAGGAGCGGCAGTGCTCTGGTTGCTCATGCTGCTTGATGTCCCAGGAAACTTGACAGCAACATACGCGCCATCAACTTTAAGCACCTACGGCATAAATAAAAGTAATAAATTGTTAAACTGAGATGCAGTTAAGAAAAAGCAAAGTCAAAAAAAAAAATCAAAGTTTGACCTTCTCTGTATTCAAATATTTGCTTCAGATGCACTTACCTTTCCCACAGGAACATTTTTAACATCTTCCACAAAGACTACCTCTCTAAGAGGCCACTGCTCCTCATTGACCTTTTCTTCCTCTTTGGGAGCTGGTGTAGAGCGTCTTCGCTCTACAAGCAGGACAGCACATTTAATTTTAGTCGTTTTATCATTGTATATCATTTACATTAAGGTACTATAAACAGCTCAGAAAAATACTTCAAAATAGGACTGCACATTACAAAAGAAAAGAAAAACAAACAAACAAAAAGGTGACGCTTTAGTGTGTACTTGTGAAAAGTAATTAAAACTGACAGTTTGCCACATGGTTCATGTGATAAGCGGTTGTAAGAAGGCAACCAGATATGCCACAGTATATAGTGCGAGTTGGCCACATTTCCTTCACAGGAAAACAGGCGGGGGGAAAAAAAAGTTGCTGATAAAACTGTGTGCACCATCTGTTTCAAAGTCAAAGGGACTAATGAGTGCACAGAGAGAGGAAGAAATTGGTTCTGTGCCTGGGAGATAGGAAAGTCAAGCCTTGGATGTTGTTGATACAGCAAATAGTTAAAGAGAGAGATGGTATGAGACAAGATTACATACTGTAGGGCAGAGAGGCACTGCTAGCAATGGAAGAGGTATCACTGCAAGTAGATGCTGGGGAGGGAGGAGGACCCATTTCAGTCTTCACCAGCTCTGGCTTGCTTTCAGTCCTATGAGAGGAGACCAAGACAAATGGATTCATTTTCCTGCTGTTTTTCTGAGCATACTACTCTCTGCAACGACATGTGTATTTCACTTATTTCTATTGACACAGAATGAAAATCTTACGATCAAGATAGAATCCATCTTGCCAGGCTTCAAGCTACACACCTGTGGCTGGCAGTTAATTCAGGTATATTACTATCCTGACAAACTACTGGCTAACAAAGCTGCACCAAGAGCATACTTTCAGGTGCAACAGTACATAAGATATAATTCATCCAATCACCTACCAAGTCCTTTTCCCCCAATTTGACTTCATTTTAATAGCAAATTTTGCTTAGAAAGATGCCAAAAATTGTCTAATGATGAGCTTCCTGCACAGCTACCGTGACTACCTGCTTGGTAACTTTCAAAACTAGCATATGGTAGACCCATCATTGGCTTACTGAACTAAGCATGAGTCCTTTTCCAGGCAGTTACCAACGACGTCTTCACAGATACATAACAAACCATCTGCTGAAACACTATTCAGATCCAAACATGTAAAAGCTTTCTGCTAAATAAAAATGAAACTGACTTGATTTCCTGGGTCTTAGTGGTCTTCTCCATGTTCTTCAGGCTCTCTGGTGAGCGCAGCTGGAACCTGCAGCTGTCGTTCATGTTCCAGACAGACTCCAAGAGGACACCCACTTTGGGAATTCCAGCACTGACAGAAAAGGCCACTGCACCGGCATGGTAAAGGGGATTGTTTCTCAAACACACCTAAGAAAAAAGAAACTCGTGAATTGATCGGTGCCCAGTGTTTATTACATACTTTAATTCGACAAGCTACCCAAGTATATTTCGTTACTCATTTTAGCATTTTTTAAATATTCTTATTTGGTAAGGTAATTCCAGAGCTAAAGCTAGAGTAAACTTTGAGATGGCAAATTAACTGAGGATGAACTTGGTCCCCATTTTCCAAAAAAGTAATAATAATAATATTAATAAAGAAATAAAATCTCCTCAAAACAAAAAAGCTAAAAAAAAACAACAACCAAAAAAAAAAATCCCAACAACATACAAACAAAAAATAAAACAAGTTTCTTCCTACCTGTGTTCCCACAGTGATGTTGGGTATTGAGGAGATGCCAGCACTGGATTTTGGCTTTTTGTTCTTGGCTCTGGCCTTTTCAAGCATCTTCTTCCTTTGACTGAAAGGCACAACACCCCTGCAGAGAGATGGAAGCAGTAAACTTAAAACAAAAAACAAACAAAAACAAAAAGCAAAACACTTCACTGACATCTACACTTTTCCTATGATACAATATACAATGCTCTCATGCCGACTGTAACATCACTTGGTAATCTTTGCATTGTACCAAAGATTACCAAGATTACCAAACTGTATGACTTCTTTAGAAGGAGTCACATAGTTTGTCTCCATTGTGTGTTTTGCCATAAGACAGAGGTTACTGCAGTTGATTTACAAATTTTCAGGATCTTTTGACATTTTAAAAATATCTCTTTAGCTTTTTCTTTTTTTGTGGGGTGGGGGGTTAGCACAGAAAAATTCATTTCAATCAAACTTTATGAACAGGGAACACAAGGTGTACAATTTTACAATTCAGACACAAAAGCTGGAAAAAATAATAGTACATGCATCACTGGTAGCACTTAGTAATGTTATGGGACGTAGACAGTAAGTGCTACAACTAACTCGGGCAATTCTTAACTTAACCTATTGTTCTGCTCGTAATGAACAGTCCTGGCTCGTAAGACAAACTGAGTGGTACGACAATGTTATGGGGACACTTTCAAGCCAATGTTGCCATTTCCCGTAAACAACTAGAAATCAATATAACTTCACAGAAAAACAACATTTTCTTCTCACCACCAGTAGAGGCTATTCTCCAGCTGTGCACATGTGTAGAGTGCACAGCAATGCAGCGACACCATGCGTTCCCCCTGCAGCTCAGGGAAAGCCTGTGCACTGTGCTCCAGCTTTGAGGCTACGGTGCTCAGTGTTTCGTCCACCCAGGTTGCCACCTGCATGACATCCATACAAACATCAGCTAATAAACAGATGATTAAATAAATGTCAATTGTTAGACTAGTTCGTGAACCATTAAAAAAAAAACAAAAAAAACCCCAGCAATAATCGTCTCAAGGCTGCACAAACAACCTTGTTCTAATGTAAAGAAGAGCAATTAAAAACCTACCTTGTTGGTCTCTGTAGCTACAGTGGCCCTGATGCTATTGGCAGACAGTAAGGTAATCTTCTCATTAGCCAGCCCCAGGAAGGATATACGTGGGTGATGAATAGCAGGATTCTGATGTGACAAATACCAGGAAGTTAGTGATATAAGTTGTTGCTACAATAAAAGATACATATATATCTTATTTCACTAGATTTTAGTTTTTCTTTCAGTAACACGGGTTGAATTCATCACCTGTGGATTCCTGTAGGGTTCGGATTCACTCCACTTCCACTGATACAGCTCTCCTTTGGAGCTCACAGCTACCAGCTCTGAGAACATTGCTCCAATGCTCACAAACTTCACACCATCCTAGAAAGGAAATTGAAGATCTCAGCAAATGTAGGATCAAGAAAAACTTCAATCCAACTCAACTCCAATCATGATGCACAGACACCAGACGAACAAAGGAAACAGGTGAACTCTCCACTTGCCTTGCAATAATGACGCAACTTCCTTTTTGTTTGTTTGTTTTAAAAAGACAATCTCTGAACCGTCTTCTGTACTTTTCTTACCTTGTCAGGCCACCACTGGAGCTCCTCTCCCAGGGAAACGGGGCTCTGCACAGGGATACTCTTCTTGTCAAGGCTTGGTTCACCCTCACGGCTGGTGGAACCGCGCTCCGTGTCAAAAGAGGCCCCGTCGAGCCACCGACGCTCACGTAACCTCAATACAGACTCACGTTCACGCAACAGCTCTGAGTCACGCTCTAAGGGAAGAAGGAGAACTGGTATGCAATAAGGTCACACCAGTGGGATAGAAGTAAGCCACTCTCTGGGAAAGACCCGTCAACATCGTTTTAAGAATAGAGAGAGAAAGATAGATTCTTTAGAATCACTATAATGAAAAATCAATCAATTTAAATACTTGAGATTGAGTGGGAATCTAAATTATACTGTGGTGAGTCACATTGCACGCTCATTAAAATGCGAGACAGAAGAGGAAGTGGATAGACAGAAAGAAAGCATGCATATGGGCTAAAAGTGGGCTAGGGAGGGTTTTAAATAGACCCTTGAAGGGTCCTTGTTAGGACAGGTGGGCCTAGCGGGCCTTTCTCAGAGAGCTCACAGTATGTACTACAGCCATGCAGCATAAAACACCAAACATTCATAATATAAACTCAGCTAAACAAACTAAAGGGAAATGTACACAGTAGACCACGAGAACCATTTCGATTTCAGAAACACCTGAGCAGTGGTTAACTGTAAGTGCAGTATTTGGCATTACACCCACTGTCGCCTTGATTTCCAGCTTTTCAGTAGTATTCCCTTATAAAGCCATCCCCAGATGAACAAAAGCCATCACCAGTGCTGCTACCAAAGCCTTTAGAACACCCTGCCTTCCCATCACTAGTCAGAAGAGAGTTGTTGAGTTACCTCTGGAGGATCCCAGGCGAGACAGTGACGAGCGTCTAAAAGAGGGATAGCCAAAGTAGCTAATGTCCTCAGAGAACATGGCATCAGCATCAATGATGACGCTGGGATGGGCTGAATGGATATCTGCATCCAACAGGGACATCAGATCCTCTGTACAAGGGAAGCACACATAAAATTTCAAATTTTAAGACAGAATCATAAAACCCCTCAAATCTTTTTTTATGATTATGGTAAAACAATTTCAATTTACAATGATCAGAATTTAAAACAGCAAACATCATTATATATGAGCCATTTGCTATTTGTGTGACAAACCTCCAGGGAGGTAAGACTCGCTGGCAGTGTCATCGCCATCATCTCCATCTTCATCATCCCGGCTCAGCAGGTTATTTACGGCGAGGTTGACATCTAGGTTGGTTCTCTGGAGCTCCCTAATGATCACACTCCTGGATTTCCCTTGAAGAACTACCTGGGCCTGGGGAATGTACAAGGACACAAAAGTAAAAAACATTTCTCATGATTATCACTGTTAATTACTGTAAAGACAGGATTAAAAGAGGCTATAAAAACATTCTTAAGAGGAAGGGTCTGTGTAAAGGCTGAGCGTGCTGTACCTGAGTAATGAGTTCTTCGGGGATGACAGAAGCAGGTATGACAGGCTGAGGCTGGCTACTCAGAAGTCCTGAGCCTCTGTCTCTTCCTGTACGGATGACCCTGGTCTGTCGACGGGAGTCGCGAGCTGCTGTTGACGACCTACCCGATGTGCCTCCGCCTCCTCCGCCTCCTCCTCCACTGCTTCCACCTCCTGCTCCACCTCCTCCTGCTCCTCCTCCACTTCCACCTCCACCACTGCCTCCATTTACACCAGAGCTCCAGCGACTCCTGTTACATACAGTTTAAAGCCACAATCAGACACAACTGCCAAAAACACACCACCTGACTATAAACACGTACGCATCTGATTACAAAGGAATTTGGTCTTTGTGACAGCAGAGACGGGCTAGTCCACACTGAGATGGAATCAGCAAGACTTAAACCCCCCCCACACACAAAATTCTGATTAAACTGGTGCCTCTTTTCCTCATTTAATCAGGCAAAGTGAAAGAAAAAAATTTCATTGTAGAATAATAGCATATACACAGATTAATTTACTCCAAGAGGAAGTAATAGATTTGTTTATTTGGGATGTTCGAACCATTTTTCCTAGGCATTGAATTGTATTAAGGTCTTACAACAACAATATTTTGTAGTAGCAAGTGGTTCTCCAGTGGTCACCAATATGAAAAGCAGTAAGAAAACCACAAGGATAAAAAAGCTGATGCTTTTTGATGCGTCCGCTGGGGATACATTTATTTAAATTTTACAACACCCTAAAAAGTTCTCACCAGAATGTGTGGCAGTGAAAAAAAAAAAGCAAGGAAAACACCACTAACTCACTGCTGAGCCACTGTTAAGCTCTATACACTGAGCTTTCACAGGACCATTCGACTCTGTCAGCCCTGCCAGAACTTACCCAAGGGTGTTGCCTGCCAGTCTGCCCAGTGTGTCAGAACCAGACAGGAACCAGGGTGGATCACTGGTCCTGCCTGGCCTGGAGCTCCTTCCTGTCCCTGAACCACTGCTCAACTTTGAACTGGAAACAAAAGATGGGAGATCAGTTACAAACCTACAGATGTCCCAAAAGGACTAAAAAACAAACAAACCAAAAAAAATCCTCTCGCTTTTTTAAATTTATTTATTTTTTAACCTTTATAACCTGGGTTAACAAAGTAAATTTACCCCAGGTATTAGTTAATTTACACCCCTTGGTTCAGGATTCATTTTATTATTAAACTATGAAACAGGAGGGGGTATTTTGGAGACTAGCATGGCAACACCCTTGGGAATCAGAATTGGCTGCAACTCATTCCTCCATCAAGACTTTCCATTTTTAAAAGTTCTTGGGTTTTGGGGCTGCGAGTGCTTTCTCCTAATAATTGCATAAAGTAATGTTGTATGAGTCTAAACAAAAGTAGTTTGCGGCAATATTCCTAAGTGATGTGTTGTACATTTGTATAATTTGTCTTTTGAATGAAAAAAAAAAACTTTTAACAAAATAACATAATCAGGTATTACTACACTGTTACAGAAGGAAATGCAATACAGAAAAGGAAAGTCAAATGATTCAGATATAATAAAAGCAAACAACAAATTCAATCCACCAGTCAACAAACTGACACAATCCATTACAATTCAAAACCACACAAATGTGTTTGTTGAGTATGCTGACAAACTTCCCAAAGACAACTTGTCAAGGCTCTTTTCGTCAGGCTTCCCAACAACCCACAATAGTGCCAAATGAATAGCTAAGCCATGTCCTGTTGTTCTGCGAGTCTGTGGCAGGGAACGAAACATATGCTCTACAGCAAAATCTGGAGCAGAGGGCTCCTTAGTCTCTTACAGCCCAACTCGCATGCATATTGAACAGCTAGTATATGAAATCACTGTTGGATGTTGTTCTGCTGGCAGGACATCAACAACTATCAATGAGACACTCACCAAAACACATGTTCATAGCCAACGAGAAACAAAGCAGCTAGTGAAAAGGTATTTTTATAGAAACATACAAACAAAAAAAAGAGTTGTGGCAAATGGCACACACTTGCTCAGCCAAAAAGGGAACTGGCTTTCAGAACCTTACAAAACAATTTTAGGGCTGCTATGTTTTTGGTCTATTGGTGTCAAGAAAAAAAATGCTTTTTCTTTTTATATTCGAGGTACAAAAAAAAATTCCTAAGACAGAGCTATACTGAGAAGATTTGATTTGAATTAAACTAAAACAAGAGCATCTGATATTCAAACAGCAGTTTAGGTAAGATAATGTATAGAAATACATGTTTACAGCTATAGATTTATAACTTTGGAGCTAATCTTTGTTGAAACAGACAATACCGCAGTAATATGCTAGAAATGAAACCATGTCCAAATGTGTTATACTTGCCAAAAAGGGCATAAGTATTGACTAGAATTCACATTACAGCAACCAAGATCCATGAGCCTGAGCATATTCGCTGCATCTTGAATGAGACGTCTCCACAAGCAATCTGTTTTCCAATTCAGTGCCAAAGCTAAAAGCTAAAAAGGTTTCCTGGGACAGATCCCATCATAAACAAGTCTCTCACCCATCGCTGCCATCCGGCTTGTTGAGCTCCAGGCGATCCGGCTGGACAGCAAAGCTGATTCTGCATACACGTCCATCCTGAAAGAGTCGCAACAGTGACTTTTAATGTATTACATTAATCAAAAAGGGAAAACAAATACATTTATATTAATTTATTACATTAGGAAATGAAAACAAAACTGAGTAAAATACAGTCTTTTCTTTAAACTATTTTTCTAAGATAGTTAATTAGCATGTTAACTACACCATACCAACTCATTTATCACCATGGTGCTGTACAGTGCAATCTATAATTCAACATCATCATAATGTGACATTAGCTTGACATGAATAAACACACTCAACACTTCAGCTGAGCATCTTTCACCCACTTGCAATATGCAAACTGAGGTAAACTAACTAATGACTCTTCAGTGCACTGTTCAAACTGAGCTGCACCAACTGCAGAATTATGATGAATATTAACAACATATTTTTTTTAAAAAAAAAAAACCTAGTCCATATCTACATCTATTGAAGCATATTATCTCATGTTGTACAGCAAAGTCAGAGGGCATCTGATAACTGTGACCTGGCAGCAGATCAGCAGCTGTTTGATTTGATGACTTATAGCATTACCTCAAGGAGAAATCCGGCATGGTTTGGACCGACAACACACTGTTTTAGGGTGGCCTGCTCCAGCAGACTAAGGTGTGGATGGCTGCATTAAAGGAAAAAGAAAAAAGTGACCCAACACAGGACAGCAAGCAAAATAATGTTTGCAATAAGTGATCACACTGAATAAAACCATCTAAAAATACAACGCAGATACACACTCACCTGTTATAACTATACTTGTTGAGCTTCTCTGAGACTTCACGGAGTCTGAGAAAAGAACAAAACAAAAACAAACTACATTAACATATCACCCAGACCAATTTAAGACCTCAATACAGGTTCCTGTGTGAGAGTCAAAAAAGCATACTGAGAGAAATGCTGTAACATGAGTTACTGTTTATGTACAAGCCCTTTTAACTTGCATACAAATTACTGTAAAACATTTTTAAAAGCGCAAAGAATATAGGTGTATTTCAGAAGGCTTTAACATATATGCATCTTTTCAGTTTATCTGAATGATCATAATGATCTCACGACAACTTGTTAATTCAATTCAATTAGGAACTAGGAAAACAAAACCTCTTTTCTACCTTATCGCAAGACAAGAAAGAAGCCAAAGATAAAAGATGACAATGTTAAACACTTGATAATGTTTTGCTTTTAAAAACAATGACATACAATAGGTTGCTAATAACACACACCAAAAACAAATGTTCTTGATCAGCACTGACGAAACATCTGTGGGAACTTGTATGTGATGATGTTTGTGCAGCAAGCATTATGAGCCTGTTGGAGTGTGTAGACTCAATGCAATGACTCAGTGTTACCTTTTAAATTTCTCACTATTTGAGAATAAAATGTATATTATACTTAAATTAATGAATGGTTACAAACTGGTAAAAAACTCTCTCTTATAGTTCTGTTGATTTTTGTTTAACTGTAGCTAAAAGGCTCTTTGTTAGGCTCCAAAGTTTCCTCTAAGAAGGACGATCCATAGGAAGATATCAGTCAGAGGCACAAGCCAGGGTTGTAGTATGCATTTGAAATACCTTTCGGCAAGTTCCCAGACATGGTTTAAATCTAGTCCCAGGCTAAAAGAAAATTCAATAACCTTCATTAAAAAATACGTTTATGGTCTGGGACTAAGCTTAATCCACGCCTGGAAAACTGAGCCTCAGTCAGTTTTTAATGTACTATATAGTTCAAAGGTTATGAATCCGCAACCCACCATTACTGGCAATGTGGAAAAAATTACACTTCATTGATTTTCACTGCTTCATGCCTTTTATCAAATAGACACAAAGCAGTTTAAAGAAAATATAAAATAAATTATAACAGCTCTTTCAAGCTTTGCTGTGAGTTGCCCCCAAGTGTAAAGTAAACTATTTTTGGTCCCTTTTCCACTTGACAATCCTGACAAATGTGCTGTAAGATTGCCTATATTGACATTTAAGATGAGTCATGACCACATCCAGCTGTCTGCAGGCAACTGAATCTTCTATCTGCAACTCTAGTAAGAACAACGTGAGGATGGTATGAAAATATCACATGCTTAGCCCTACATGGTGTCAACTAGAAATTGAAATGGTCCAAATAGAAAACAGATACTGATTTTTTTTTCCCCAGAACCACCTGACAATAAAAAATAAAATAAAAATCTTCCACTGACACAATGAAAAGCAGTTGTCTGTCTTGCCAGTCCAAAATAATCGTTTTAATTGGTTAAAAAAAATTCAAGGATTGCTGTAAACTTTTAATACTCTGTTTTATAACTTTCTGAAATAGGCGGCCTAACTGTGCTTTTGCAGTCCACTAAAAATCAGCACAGAAAAAGAAAGAAAGAAATTAGACATCAACTTCCATACTTAATTTAGACTATCAGTCTCTTTCATGAAGAAGTGTCCCATGTCATGAAACCCATTTGCACCTCACACACGCAAGGAAATGCAGTTATCCAATCATGCTTCAGCACACACGAGGTCTGGATTGCACAGTTTCCTGAACTCTTAAGTGCAAAAGATCACTGGTGATGTGATGAGTGACCTAACTCAAGATGCAAACTCCAAGATGTGAGAAAAACAAAAAGCATCACAATGTACATGTTACTGTCAAGGCCAAACATACAAAATCACATAAATCTCACTACTTAGACATACAAAAAAAGAATTGTATACTAAAATAGATGCACAGCCTATGCAGAATGTCAGAAAATGCCAGTAAATATGCAATCTAATTCCACCTTTTAGAAAGCAATCAAATGCAAGGTAGAATGTAAACAGGAAATATTTTTAAATTACATTCAATGCCTCTAAACCACTGGGACATAACAACAGAACAGGCAGAATTCTCGTCACACACAGAACATATTAAAAGCTCATGCCTCACTCCTAACACTGCAAAAAAGTAAGAGAAAATGACTCACAAAGCATCCAGGTCAGCCATTCACTACCCTTCCCATCAAACAAATGGTAGTACCCTAGCACAGACAAGTCTATTCCCTTCAATGAGCCATTTAAAACTGTTTCACCGCAGCAGAAAAAAAAACACATAAAATATCCATCTCACTACAGGGGAATGCCATTTGCCATTTCACTGTCCTAAATGAATGTGTGCAAGCAAACCTCAGGTCAAACAAAGAAATCTGACCAGATATTCATGCTAGGCGAGCTGGACTAAGCCTTTTTATGTCAGATAGAAGCACTTATCTGCTTTGACAACTGCAAGTTCATGGAGAAGAGAGAGAGAGAGAGAGAGAG